CACGGGTCTATATATATATATATATATATTAATGGAGCTCCAGAAATGGACAACTACAAGAAGCAGAAGATAAAGAGACAATGAAACACACACACACAGCAGCATGTGAAAAAGCACACACACACACACACACACACAAATACACACACTGTACGTATAACGCGTATATAAATATATACCTGGCTGCACTGCGACGCGCCGCAGGCGACGGGCTTGAAGGTGGCGGACTTGGAGGGGTCGAAGGCGGCGGCGGAGGAGCAGCCGACGCAGCCGGCGCACGGGACCCACGCGGCGTCGTTGCTGGTGTCGACGGCCATGAGCAGCGTCTGCGCGGGCGTGCCGATCTTGGCCCTGACAATGTACGTCGGGTTCTGCGTCACCGCCCTGCCGGAGGCAATCGGCACTATTGTCCGTGCGGCGGCGCCGACGACGAGGCTGGACAGGAACTGGAGGCGGGCCTGGTCGGCGGACTGCATTTGGAGGACGGAGTCCTCCCACGATAGCGGCGGCGTGTTACGGCGGAAGGGGGAGATGGGGCTGTTGGCATGGATGAGCTGGAGGTTCGAGCCTTCGTCCCGATTAGGGTTAGGGTTAGGGTTGTGTAACCCTTGGGTTAGTGTGAAGAAGAAGAAGAAGTAGAAGAAGATGGTGTAGAGTGAGAAGAGAATTGTAGCCATTGTGTAATTATTATGTGGTGGGATATTTTGTATGAGTGTGTTGTTATATATTTATAGTTGCAAGTGTGTGTCAATGTGTGTAATTGTGTGTATATATTAATATAATTGTTGTATTTTTTTTTTTTTTTAAAAAAAAAATAATAAATATATGTAAGACTGAAGAGGCCGACAACACTACACTACTCGAAAAATAACAAATATAACATATCAGACGATATTTTAAAAAATAAGTCGAGTCGTCAAATTTTTTATTAATTATATATAGTGGGATATATATAGAATAGAAGTACACAAGGAGTTCGAGGGCACCGTTCCCATTTTTTTTAAGAATGTTTAGCATAAAATAAATTCACATCTTTAAAGTATAGTATATCCTAAAATTATATGATTATGTACTTATAAACTACTTACAAATTTAAATTGCTTAGAATCGACAATTTAACTATTTATTATAAATTTTGATTGTCCATTATTCACATTTTCCACTTTGCAAAAATTCAATATTGTTGCGTGGGCCAAATGAGGCTAAATAAAAATATATAATTATGTGCAGATTTACGATTAACAATTACTCGAGGCTAATAACCAAGTGTAACATAGAATTTCGCGTCGTACACACTTGAATAATGTTGTATGGAGTTATTTGATAACAGACTGTATTCCATTTGCTTTTGTGGTATATGATATGATAGCAATTATTTCAGTGGTATGTAGTCTTTTCTCCATTAATATTATTATTATATAAATAATTGAGTGAGAGAAAACTTAATATATATAATGCTAATTGTTCCCCCTCATTTGCAATATTTTATTGCACATCAATTTTGAAACAAAAGAATTTAGATTTGGAATATGGGGAACTAATTAATTATTTAGATTGTCGACAAAATAAATAATGAAAAAAAAAACAAGGTCATTTATGTAGCATGTTGGTGTTGTCGAACGTATTGTGCTAATTATTTATTTTAGACAATTGCTGGGTGAATTTGGTCGGATATTTCTTTTTCCCAATATCTTAAATTATATTATGATATATATTTGATTTTTTTTGGATTGTGTTTTGTTAAATGGCTTTTTATTCTGGAATTTGACATCCGTGCATCGGATGAATGAGATACTAGTTCGTTCTAACGACAACATCTTCAAAATTGACAACTGAGAATAATAATTAGAGTACATATATATGTCAAATGAAAAAATACCAACCAATTAAATTTCCTAAATAAGGGGAAAATATGATTTATGATGACCAAAAAATGTAGGTGAAATTATATCAATTAATGCAGTAATATTGTAAAGGGTAAAAATATATTTAAATAAAAAATAAAATAAAACATCAATATAATATGTAATGTGAAAAAAGAAGAAGCTAATTAATTATGAATATAGTATAGATATATAATTGTGTTCGGTACTTCTGTGACCTTTGTTAATTATAACCGAAAATAGTTCTCATATATTAAATTTAGCATATAGTTCATGTGATATAAAATGAAGGGCAACAAATAAAATGAATGTAGTAATTATGTATATGAATATCTTCACATGTGTCTGAAAACCATTTCATATTGTGCAAAACTGAAATTTGTGGCATGGATACAATTTTCTTTTTCTTTTTCTTTTTCTTTTTCTTTTTTTTTTTTGCTTTTTTTGATAAATTAGCATGGGATTGAACTTTGTGCAACAATAAAGAAAGAATATTGTGAAGAGGAATTAACACAAAGAAAAAAGAAAAAAAAAAAGTAAAAAAACCCATTACCTTGTTTGGGTGATGTTTCAAATTAGGGGCTGAGCTGGCTCGACAAAAGTTCGAGCATTCCGACGAGCTCGATCCCATTTTTAGTTGTTCATAAGCACATACACGAGCAAACTCACGAGCTTTATATATAATATATAAACAAAATATAAGATGAGCTGGGCTCGACAGGCTCGGCTCGACTTGAGCTTCATCATATGAAATCATTTCGAGCTCGAGCACGAAACAACTGGTGAGCTCGGCTAATTCACACCCTTATTTCAAATTGTTTTGCGAAATAAGAGTTATTGATTGTGTGTAAAAGTGAAATAATTGTTTATTTTTTAAAACAAGAAAGATGAAAACAAATGTACTAAAAAATAAATAACAAGCCAATTAAAAAGCTCATAATAATCTATTTTGAAAAAAACTCTTACAAAAACCACCTTAACATCGTTAAACTATTTAACTACATTCAAAATAATTAACTAAACTTACATATTAGGTTGCAAATCAGCATTTCCTCCCAAGATTAATTATTACTTTCATCACTAATGAAACTCTTTTTTTTTTCTTTTTTTTTTTTTAATAATTCAAATCATGTTACAAATAATTTGAAAAACACTATAGAAATTAAATTAATAATTCTATGTCAATATTACGTAGGGATGATATCATTTGTTTAATTATGTTTATTAAAAAGAAATTCAGTTCTTAATGGGGAGCAGATTTTAGAGTATGAAGTGAGAGAAAGAGAAAAAGTAAATCCACTTTACAGCACCTTTCCCTGATAAGCATGTTATTGAATTTTATTCCATCCCACATCGAAATGTTGTACCACATTAAAAAAATAATTAAAATAAAAGAATATGGTATTTTTTTTTTAAATTAATTATTTTAGAAATATATATAAAAATATCTAGAGAGAGAAAGAGGAGAGAGAGAAAGAGAGGGGTCAAGATCAGATCTGACTTTGTGGTAGAGTTTTGGCAAATAGTATGAAACACAATGTGGCACTACAGAAATAATTGCATGTGACTATTTTTATCTAATTAATGAGTGTGACACTACAAAGAACGTCACTCCAAATATCATTTAATATAATGTTTTCGTACATCTATCTATTTCTCAAATTCTTTTTTTATATATGTATAATTTAAGATCCGATTCAACACTTTGGTTTATTATTTTGTAGTTTTTCAATTGGGTAAATTGCAATCACCCCTGAAACGTAGTCAAATTATAAAAAAAAACCCATCATGTTTGGTTAATTATATATACTCCCATCAACTATGAATCTTCTTACATCTCCACTTTTATGGTGTCGAATTCAGCATAATTATCTAGATTCCGTCGAATGTTCTCTAGTTGGTACTCGTTTTGTGCAAAAATACAATTTCTGATGCACCACAATCTGATATATACAAGCCAAAAAACACATTTTATGATCATCTAACTTCAAAATGTGGAGCTCGAATGAGATAAAACGGGTCCAAAATTCAGAGTATTCCACTAAATTTGAAACTGCGAGGGTGGACGTGTAAGAATATTTATAGTTGTGGGTGATTGTAATTACCCAAACAGGAGGGGGTTTTCGTAATTTTACCATGCCTCAGGAGGTGGTTGCAATTTACCCTTTTCAGTTTGATTCTTGGATAAAAAAATTGGTATTGTATGAAAAATATCATTTTTCAACTTTTTTTTTTTTTTTTAACGATTCAATCGATTTTTTACGACTAAGTTTACGATTCAATCGATTTTTAATGGTATCAATTTTAGCATCTTATTAGAACAATTCGGAAGAGTTAATTTTACTTGAACCCCCTGTTAGATAGTTAAAATTGCAGATTCACCCTCTCATAGTAAAAAAAATACCCATACTTCATGTTACATGTCTCCGCTTAGTGGCATAAGGGAGCATGCAAAAAAATCTTTTTTACCATCACTTTTACAAAATTATCTTTCAGGCTTAAAAAAATCAAATTATCTTATTAGCGTTTTTTCTTCTCCTTTCTCTTCTTCTATTCCACCGTCGGCAAATTCATTGCAATTTCTCTCTGGGCTTGAAGAATCTAATCGATTCTTCTGAGTTAAAGTTAACTTCGGTTATTTCTTGTGTGTGAGTTAGATAATTTCGTCGTTTTTCTGTCACTGCAGCTTTCAATCGATTTATTTAACATGGTCCATTTTGTGTTTCATATGTTCTTTATTTTTCATACTGAGCTCGTTTTCAAAGAATTTTGTTGTTCCGACTACATATGGAAGTACACAATGAAATATATGACATTTTGGTGCACTACAAAATTTTAGTTAGGACATGGTTCAAATGTTTGATTAATAACCCTGAAATTGAAATCGATGGGTATAAATTTGACACCCCTTATATATTTATTTAATTACTTTGATACCCCTCTACGATAAATTAACTGTAGGGGTATTTATATTCATAAAAAATTGTCAGAGTAGTCAACTTCGCTGAAAAGGGTAAAATTGGAAGTTCACTTATTTTTCTTAACGACTTCATCAATTTCCGTCCAAAAATTGGACAGAGGGACCAATGGAGTAAACAAAAACATCTAACATGGGTTGTATTGACAATTTTTTGACTAGAAGAGGGCGAGTCTACAATTTCATTATCTAGCAGGGGGTCCTAGATAATTTAAACAAAATAAATTATAATTCCTCTGTGATAGAAAGAATAGGTGAACTTACAGCAAAAAAAACTGCACATTTTACCTCTCAAATTAGTCTACATACAAACTCTTGAAAAGCAAAATTTCTTTCTTCTTTTCTTCCTATAATATATATTTTATAAGCCCTTTTCAAGAATCCATATCGTCATCACGAAACGTTCGTTGTAAGATTAGCAACTTCGCCTAATGTGTCCCAGTTCGGAATATTCGCGGTAGCCTCGTTGATCAACTTTATTAGATTCACCTGAAAAACGGAAAAAAAAAATCTAGTTTGAGTAGCCACAAGAGTTACTAGAAACCGAGACGCAATTAAAGAAATTACAATATCGATCACTGATCTATCCGATGTTCGTAAAAAACGGGATAAACTTTTTTTTTAGAACATGCCACAAATTTACAACGAGAAAAATTCGAAAAAACGTAGTTAAGAAAATAAAATACAATAAAAATTGCGAATGTACCACATCTTGAGGAGCTCCTTGAGGGGGTAAGGACAAATTTCGCGGTGGGGGGTTATCGAGATACAATCTCTTATCGAAACGCCACTCTCCGCTTCCATCGTACATTAGCTTACCCTAATGGCGAACGATATATCAAGATTAAAAAAAAAAAAATCAATATATCAAGAAACTCAAGTTTTCTAATTCTTGATCAACTTACCTTTGAGTTGTAGTTACACTCGTAAGTATAATGAAGAATATATTTTCCGGGTTCGAAGTCCCACGGGGGCTGAAATCATGGCAAAATTCAATTTAATTCGCTTCGATTTTTATATACAAAAAAAATAAAATAAAAAAATAAAAGTGTGACTTAGTTATCAAATTGAGAAACAAAAAAAACCTGCAACATAAAATCTTTCCGGAGAATATGCTGAACACCGTGAAGAGCCGAGGCCACAGCGTATCCATACCTACGACCAAAAAATAAATAAAAAAATATTAGAGATCGATAAATAAACGAACGTAAATATGAAATATGAGATATTCGCTCACATTTCTAGCACCCAACCGAACTTCTTATCGGTCTCAGGGTCTTTTTTCATTGCCAACGAGACATTCATCCACGTAGGCGCAATTTTTTGCAGCACATCCTGAATATCAAATTCAAAGTAAATAAAATTAATATATATACATCATTTATATTAAAACAAAGCAGAAACAAAATTAAATAGATGCACCTTTTTAATTATAACCGGAGAATTTCCGATCGGGTCAACATTGACAATGGGGCCCATCTCCTTCGAGAAATACTTGCGTATGATCTTCTCGTATTTTACGGGCTTTATGTAGAAAAACGGAAAAGCAGCCGGATATCCTTCAAATGCTAAATTCGGTAGTGGATGTATGAATATGTGATCAGGCTCTGCCATCAATATGTATCTGGTAAATTAAAAAAAAAAACTAAATATTAAAAATAAAAAAAAAAATTCGGGTATTGCTAATACGAAAAAACCGTGTTAACATATGAAGCGAGCTTAATTACTCTTCTTCGATTTTCGCCTTTTCAAGCCATTGCACGAAAGCCCACGGTCGATTAAGAACGACGTAGCCCTGTTTATATCTTCGCAAATTACATTAATCAACGAATAAAAGAAAATTGTTTTAACTTATTTAAAACAAACATTTAGCTTAACACGAGTTCCCGTAATAATTTGGCGAATAATGATTTCAAATGACTCGCTCGAGTCATTTGAAAACATAATATAACCACTAATTCTCATTAGTGACAAATTTTTGATTGAATGTGACAACTTCTATTGTTGAATGAAACAATCGAAACAAGATCATAGGATTTGTTATCGTAAATTTGAATTTTTTTTTTTTCCAAATAATTCCATCCAAACGCAACATAAAGAAATGTAGGAAAAAATAAACGAAGGAAGAAATTTCGAACCTGATCGACACCTTCGGGCAGAGGATCAACGACGAAAGTAGGAATCTCGTCCATTAAATTATCGGGATTTCCGGAGTGAAGTATCCTAGTGAATTTTCCCATATCCGATTCCGGCAAATCTTTTTTCTTCTTATAAAAATAGTACATTATTCGGCACTGCCATTGGCTATAAGCGTAATCCGTGGCTGTAACTGCAATATGAAAGAGCGACCGTTCTTTCTTCGTTGCTCGTTTCGCATTCTCGGGCATTTTGATCACTGGATCGATAAGAAATTGGCTGTGGCGTTTATGTAAATAAGTCCGTCTTCTATGAGCGACGATTAGATTTCGTTTGTGATGGTTGTGTTGTTGTACATTCATTGAGATGAAGTTACCGAACACCACAAAGAGCAATAGTGCCGCGAAAAACGATATTGCTCGTCTCATATTTTTTTTTTCCTTCAAAAAAACGAAAAACGGATTAAAACGAAGTGATTAGTCTTTGTTTCACTAGAATACAAAAATCACAATGGATATATAATGTAGAAACCCGAATTTCGACAAACTAAGTTACGATTCACTAACACGATGCGAACTGTAATAAATTATTAACCAACGAAAACCCCCATTAAATCAACTTGATCTAAACGAAAAACTAGAAACTAATCATATATTAATAATTGCATATATATTAGCTAAAAGTCAATCCAACGATTCGTTTGATCAGTGGCTGAGACAGAATTTTGTATTCAACGGAACCAAATATATACTAAAAGTTCTTTAGACGCCCACTATTCGAAAAACAATAAAATATTTTACATAAAATAATAGGCTCTATGCTGGCTTCGTCACTCAATTTAAATTAATCATCATCAAGAAAGATACATTGTAAAGAATCCTCATGAAATATATATATATATATATATATATATATATATATATATATATATATATATATATATATAACAACAGAAACGTATGATGAGAATCAAACCTTGGATTCCGAAATTGAGACGAAGAGCAGAAAATAAACCTAAGATCAGAAAGTTAAGACGAATGAGAAAAGTGTGGTTAATTACTGCATAGTAATTAATATGAACACAATCAATAATTAAACAACGCGCGCGCGTGATTTTTGTCAATCTTTCTTTGTATTGTTTGATTGGAAGAAGAATGCATCGAGGGTTTTACTTTTTATAAGAAATATATATATATATAATACAAGTATTTGCCAAAAGGAATTTGAAGTTTAGGAATTAATCGAAAAAAAGAGAGGGGCCGATCCACTTCTCCAAGGAAGGGATTTGAATATAATGGGATTGTAATTATTTGCAATGCATAAAAAAGGAAAGGACTATTTTGCCCATATAATACTACAAGTTAGAATATGATTAGTGCTACACTAGGAATATAATGAAAAATCATATTTAATCCAATCTAATTTTATTCAAATTCATCTAATGTAAGGCCTATATATATATATATATATATATATATATATATATATATATATATATATATATATTTTGGTGTATAGACAATCCAAAATGTGATTGATATAAGAGCCACAGGAGGAATGACCTAGTTGGTGGAATAAGATATTATGGTGTATGGAGCACAATTAAATTACTTAAGTTAACCTTGTCAATGTGTTTTTAAAGTCGAGTTTGTCACGTATATTTTTGTCATAAATTACTTGTCACTTTACAATTTGAATAAAAGATTAACTATACTATTTTCAGTATTATCATTTACCACTCTTAATTAATTCAATGAAAATTAATTAATCATAAGATATTTTAGTGATTTCCTATGTATTTTGCTGTAATCTATGCATATTTATTGATTTTTTTAATATATTGATAATAAAAAAATGACATAAAATGGGACGGAGGGAGTAGCATGCTATGCATGTTCATTATAAAGAAAGGTGATATAAGAATCTTTTAAATTGAAATGTTATGGATAAATTATGACTCAGGCTCGAGCTCAAAAAAAAATACTCGAAGAGCTCGAATTCGTCAGAATGATTTCGAACTCGAGTTAGAGCTCGCCAAAACAGCCAAGCACGACTCGTTACACCCCTAATTTATATTAGCAAAGGTAATAAAAGCCGACAATTTCATTATTATAAACTATGACTTTTGTCTTAGTTAATAATTTAATGTTGAAATTTAAATCCAGATCTATTTTGAATGAATATTTTACTTTGAAATATTCAGTTTTATACATTTATAGTATTGTTATTATATGATAAATATTTTGCAATGTTTTTATTAGTTAGTCAAATATATTATCTTACAATACGATAAATGAAAACGATTCGATAGGATATTTTTCACCATAATTTTTGGGCCCCATTTGATGAAAATCAAAATTAAAACCCACTAATCAATGTTTCCCGTAGATTTAATTAATTAATTAATAATTGATTCTTTAATTATCGCAACATGCCTTTTTTGCTTCCTACGTAAAAAGAGACAAAAACCGGTGAAAATGCCTTTATTATATTTCTTTTTTCCTTTTGCCCACTACCTGTTTGACTTATTGCTCCAGAGAGAAGAGAATAGCATCCATGGCGGCAATTGCACCTACTCCGGTGATCAAAGTCGCCGCCCTCTGCGGTTCCCTTCGCAAAGGATCCTACAACAGCGGCCTCCTCCGCGCCGGTAATCTCTCTCTCTCTCTCTCTCTCTCTCTCTCTCTCTCTCTCTTGTTGTACATTGCACCTTGTTTGGTTGTGCCCAATTCCGAATCAAACACAATTGAAGTTTTCAGCTTTGATCATGGTTCGCTAAGAAAAAAAAAATATATTTTACATTTTTTGTTATGTAATTTGAATTAATTTGTTGATGAAATTGTAATTCAATATGTGGATATTTCTGAGGTGAATTTTTTTTCTTTCTTCTTGTTTTAGCTATTGAATTATCGAAATCGATTAACGGATTGGAGATGGAGTATGTGGACATATCACCATTACCGTTTCTGAACACGGATCTTGAGGTAAACGGGACGTACCCGCTCGTTGTGGAGGCTTTTAGGCAGAAGATTCTTGCTGCTGATAGCATACTATTCGCTTCACCCGAGTATAACTACTCCATCACCGGTACGAAATCATAACCTTTAATTTATCTCATCGAAAATTTTATTTTTATTTTTTCGACTTGAAATTATGTATTCAATGTTATGCTCTGTGAGTTGCTATTGAATTTCTTCTAATAGAACTTTATCGTATTTACTTTTACTATGGTTAATGTTTCGTTGTGTTGGTTGGGGAGGATTTAGACGAACCTATTCGATTTGGGAGATTGCATTTTAGTTTCGGTAAATCACGAAAAAAAAATTCTCATGTTTGGTTAATTACAACCACCCCTCTACTATGAATCTTTTTCCATGTCCATCGTTGCAGAGTCAAATTTAATGAAATTTTTTAGATTATGTGGAATATTCTCCAGTTTATACCCGTTTTACCCAATTCGAGCTCCACATTTTGAAACAAGATGATTATAAGATGTGTTTGGCTTATAAATATCAGATTGTGGTGCGAAACTGCATTTTTAATGCACAAAACGAGTACAAACTAGAGAACATTCAATAAGAATGAACACGTAAGAAAATTCATAGTTGAAGGGGTGGTTGTAATTACTGAGTTTTTTTCGTAATTTGATTCTACCTCAGTGAGTGGCCGTAATTTACACTTTTGTTCCAACGGTTATATAGAGTGATCCCGAAAAGTGGTTAACAACAAGATAGAAAGAAAGAAAGAAAACAGACGGACGACCGGTAATTTGGTAGTGATCTGCTGCTACTCTTCCCCACTATTAATTAAAATCTCCTATAAAGTTGATGACAATAAAACAAAACTTAGTGGAAGCGCCTTTTTCTTTTCGTTTTAAACAACTCTAAAGTAGCCACTGCAGCTGTATGCTTAATGATTACCGAAATTATCGAGGGTAATTTGCTTACGAGTATCTAGAAGTTTCCGGAAGACATGATTAGTTTGCTCCAGTATATATGATCTGAAAGAATCCGGTCAAGCCTTACATCTTTCGTTTTCTGGATAGTTTGATGTAATTAGTTGAAGATAGATAAAAACAAGCAATCATCGTTATATGTGTACAGTTGCCGGACCCTGTATCGTAATATTGCTTTTCAAATACTATATTTTTTTTCCGGCAGAGGTTCATTCAAGAAAAGAATTGAACCCGAATAGAAAGACAAATTATATTTCTTTGAGAAATCTTGTCGGACGAGTTCTGTAACAAGCTCAAAATATTTTATGACGAAACTATTACGTAAATGATGCCAATTTTCGGTAGTTGCATAAGCAGATCTATGCTTATGTATTAGTTCTGTTAATGTGGATTTGATTTTATTAGAAAAGCATCCGTTCGAAACTTTTAAGGATAAAATACAACCACCTCCCTGAAGTATGATTAAATTACAAAAAAACCCCTCATGTTTGGATAATTACAACTATCCCCAACTATGTATCTTCTTACACGTTCACCCTTATGGTGTCAAAATTCAACATAATCTTCTAGATTCTATGGAATTTTTCGTAGTTTTTACTCATTTTGTGCAAAAATGCAGTTTCTGATGCACCACATTCTTATATATGTACAAGCCAAAAAACACATCTTATGATCATCTTGCTTCAAAATGTGGAGCTCGAATGTGATAAAACGGGTACAAAATTGAGAAAATTCCATATAATCTAGAAGATTCCACTATATTTGACACCGCAAAAGTGGACGTGTAAGAAGATTTATAGTTGATGGCTGGTTGTAATTACCCAAACAAGAGGGGTTTTTTCGTAATTTAACAATACCTTAGGGATGGTTGTAATTTACCCAAACTTTAATACAAATTTGGCTTCACTTTTTTTTTTCGCCCCTCTTTTATAGGACCTCTGAAAAATGCAATTGATTGGGCATCAAGGCCCCCGAACCTTTGGGCCGATAAAACGGCGGCAATTGTGAGCGCCGGAGGAGGGTTTGGTGGGGGACGGTCTCACTACCATCTCCGCCAGATCGGAGTTTACATCGATCTCCATTTCATAAATAAACCGGAGTTTTTCCTAAATGCATTTCAACCTCCGGCGAAATTCGACAGCGATGGTGAATTGATAGATGATGCAACCAAGGAGAAGTTGAAAGCCGTTCTCTTGTCCTTGTACGCGTTCACACTGCGTCTCCAAGGTAAGTCGTAAGTCTTGGTAGTATATAAGCTCGAGTGTATTTGTGCAAAATTATTGAAGGGTGTTCGAATACTACTGCTGTATTGAATGTTCAATAAATTTGATGACAATGTTAATTCTATTGGTGTGGGGTTTGGATTTTGTTGGTGAAATTATATAAATATTGAAATTTGACAGAGGTTTGTTTTCTGTGTGAATTTGCAAATAATACTTTAGGAGATAAGTGATACAAATAGTATAATTTAGAGGTGTAAACTGTAATTAACCCTATCTTAACTATTAATCTGGAGGTCACGTGGATAAAAATCAACCAATTAAAATGCATATATTGTCCGGATAATTGGCATTTTGTACCCTTCAATTATGCTCATTTGACACTTTGCACCCTTAAATTAAAAATATGGCAGATAACACCTTCAAATAAGATTTACTAGGCACATTGCACCCCAAGACACTTTTCTACTAAAAGTTGCGTAGGAAAAAAATGATTTTACCATAATTCAATGGTCAATTATTGTTAATTAGATTTGTGAACGAGGAAGAATATAAATATTTTCTGTAATTAAAAAGCGTATGCCAATAAAATAACAAATGGTGGGTTTTAGCAATTCGATCAAACACAAGGATACTAATTTTGAATAAACCCTCCATTATTTATGTTAATACAAAACAATAATTCGAATTCAAAAACAAAAACTATAGTATCTAGGGGTTGTCTAGGGTCCGAGAGGGGTTGTACTACTCGGACCCAAACGATTTAATCTGATGCGTAGAAAATATTTAGTAAAAATTTATAGTCGTTGATTTAAAGTACGAACTAGTACGATCCAGTACGAACCTATGAATTTATAAATTAAAGTACGAACCCAGTAAAAATAGATCGTACAAATGTCGTACTCCATCGTACTTCATGTAAAATTACTTTATTAACCTTACATTATTAAACCAGAGAATTAAAAGTAGGGTTAACTGTACTTTGCCCCTAACTTTGGTCATTTTTGCTCTTTCTCCCCAAATAAAAAAAAAATTCCACGATCATACTTCGACTAACTAATTTAGCCCAATTTCACCAATTAATCAATTTTTGACCGTAATTTCAATTTTGACCCCAATTTTGACTCGCCACCACCGGAGACCGCCAGAGACCCACGGTCTCCGGCGTTGACTCTTTTTTTTTTCAAAACTTTTTTTTCGTCTGAAATTTTTTTTCCGGTAGCTCAATCGCAGGGTCTCCGGCTTTGATTTTTTTTTTCTTTTAATTTTTTTTTCTAAAAAAAACTATTTTAACTAATATTAATGTATTGGCTGTTAAATTACTGTCTCCAAAAGTTATTTAACAGTCGGAGAGAGTAATTTAATATTAATTAAACTTTTTTTTCTTAAAAAAAATATATTAATTAATATTACTATCTTGACTGCTAAATTACTGTCTCCACGGTTATTTAACTGTTAATTGACTTTTTTTTTCTTAAAAAAATATTTTAATTAATATTACTGTCTTAGCTGCTAAATTACTGTCTTCAACAGTAATTTAACTGTCGGATACAATAATTTAAATGTTAATTGACTTTCTTTTTTGAATTTTTTTTTCTAAAAAAAAATATTTTAATTAATATTACTGTTTTGGCTCCAAATTTATCTCTCTAACAGTAATTTAACTGTCTGAGATAATAATATTATTGTATTAATTAATTTTATCGTCTTGACCTGCATTATTGTTGTTTTCGACTGTAATATTGTTGTCTTCGATCGTAATATTACTGTCTCAAGCAATAATATCACTGTTTGGGACAGTAATATTAGTAATATTACGGTTCAGAAAAATAATATTCATAAAATTACTGTCTGAAACAGTAATATTATTGTCTGAAATAGTAATATTATTGTATGAGACAGTAATTTAGTAGGCAATATAGTAATATTACTTCAAATATATTTTTCTAAGATTTTTTTTTTTCAAAAACGAAATAAGAAAAAAAGTCAATGTCGGAGAGCGGCGGTCAACTACGGTTGACCGGTCGAAAAAAAAAATTCAGAAAAAAAATGTTTTCAAAAAAAAAGTCAACGCCGGAATCTGGCCGGAAAAAAAAAATTCAGAAAAAAAAAATTATTTTCTCAAAAAAAATACATTTTTTCAAAAAAATATTAAAATGGGGGCTAATGTGATATATTTGTTTAAATTCAGGGTCAATGTCTAATATTAAGGAAGTTAGAGTATAATGGATGAAACTGATAAAAAATATATTATGGAGGGTATTTTAGAGTAAAGACATGGTGATGGGTTAATTTGAAAGATTGTTGTTTATGTGGACCAATGTGCATTTAAGTCCATTGTCATGACCCTAATTATTAATTATTATTAATTGTTAGTTTGTTACTTAAGTTTTAGTTATAGGGGTTTTTATGTAATTTCACCTATAAGGTAGGTATCGTACTTTTTTTATGGGTTTTGTACAAATCATACGCGTCACATTTTTATTGGTTGATTTTCAATAGGGATGGCAATTTTTACCCGACCCGCGGGTACCCGCCCCGCCCCGCCCCGAAATTTCCGGGTAATACCCGCCCCGCAAATAAATGGGGCGGGTACGGGTTCTAACTTTTCACCCGAAAACGGGTTCGGGGCGGGTGCGGGTTTTGTATATACCCGCCCCGCAGACCCGCCCCGTACCCGCCCCATAGACCCGCCCCGCATATATATATATATATATATATATATATATATATATATATATATATATATATATATTATTTTATAATATCATTATAATATATTTAATATCTTGATTTAAAATTATTGTTTTCATTAGGGTTATTCAATTTTTTTTTTTATTATTTTTTTTAATTTTTTCTTCAGCTTTACGGGTCTTTTGGCGGGGCGGGTACCCGCGGGTTTTCCACGGGGCGGGTGCGGGTTGAGAAAATTTAAACCCGTTGCGGGGCGGGGCGGGTGCGGGTTGAACGGGTTTGTTAACGGGGCGGGTGCGGGGAATGCAAAACCCGCCCCAAACCCGCCCCATGGCCATCCCTAATTTTCAATCGTTTGGGTCCGAGTAGTACAACCCCTCTCGGACCCTAGACAACCCCTAGTATCTATACTCACACTTATGGAACAAGAAACGACGAGGATGGCGAAGCAATGGACTTAAAATGGTGATTATTGCGAAAAATTGAACGGAATTTGATATAAAATTTTTATTAATGAAAAATTATACGAAAGTTTTCTGTTTATAGTAGATGCAAATTAGACAAAAAATTTCCATTTATATAATAAAGGGTAAATTCCACTTTACCCTCTTGTACTTTGGCTGGATATCACTTTGCCCCCTTGTACTCTCAATTGCATCGATTTGCCCCCTTGTACTTTGGTTCGATATCACTTTACCCCTTCTACTCCCAATTCATCGATTTGCCCCCTTGTGCTTTGGTTTGATATCACTTTACCCCATTTTACTCTCAATTGCATCGATTTGCCCCATGTACTTGAAAAATTGTCTCAATGTTGTACTTGAAAAATTGTCTCAATGTGCCCGTCGTCGTTGGTTTTCAGACCTTTGACCTTATCACCGTGTGATCTAAGTTTGAAAATCAAAAAAAAAAAAACCACTCCTCCTAGTTTAAATAATTATTAATAAAATAAATAAATAAAATTGTGGCTAGCGTCGTGGACTATGTTTTCTGATTTTTCGTTGTCTTGATTTTTTTTTTTTTTTTTTTTAATTTTTTTTTGTTTTTTTAATAATTATTTAAACTTGAAAGGGTGACATTTTAGTAATTTTCAGACTTAAATCAAACGGTGTTAAGGTCAAAGGTCTGAAAATGGTGATTACTGCGAAAAATTAAACGGAATTTTATACAAAATTTTTATTTATGAAAAATTATACGAAAGTTTTCTGTTAATATATGCGGAATTAGACAAAACATTTCCATTTATAAAATAAAAGAACCAAGATATAAATGTCGCAAGTACATATAAAAAATTGTTTGAATTGATTTTCATAAGAAAAAAAATTCTTGCTCCCAAAATCATGCATGTACTTGATTGGGCAGTTTAATAATTACTTCAAAGTTTAGGGGTCAACAACAATATTATCCAACCTCCTAACAACTACAAAAGAACGTCCCTCTTAGTCTTAGCTCATTTCCCTGCTTCTGAAAAAATGTGATATTTCAATTTTTCTTTCTAGAGTTTACAAAATTTCTCGTTTACATCTTTTGCTTTAATTACACACAATTTATGTGTGTTTGTGTGTGTATGGAGAAGTAAGAAATGTATTAGGCAACCCTGTTTCTCCCTATTTTCACATTTTAACTTTATTCACACACGTTGATGCGTGTTTGTGTGTGTGGGGTGCATACATTTGTGTTCACAATGGGGTTTTGCAGTTGAAGGGTTTAACCCAAGGACGATTTTGATGTGTTTGTATATATTTTGTATGTATAGTTGATTTTTAAGGGTTTTCCCCCAATTAAACAGGGTATAGATTTTGGGTTTCCAATTCGATGTGTGTGTGTTTTGTGTGTGTTTTGCGTGTGTGTGTGTGTGTTTTTTTTTTTTTTTTGTGTTTGCGTGTGCGTGTTTGTGTGTGTGGGGCGCATACATTTGTGTCTACAGTGGGGTTTTGAAGTTGAAGGATTTTACCCATGGACGATTTTGATGTGTTTGTATATATTTTGTAGGTATAGTTGATTTTTAAA